GGCAACAGGGCAAGACTCCATCTTCCCCCCCCCAGCCCCCAAAAAACTGTATAGAAGTAAATTATTATATTTTTACTTATATATTTTAATTTACATTATACATTTTCCTAATAAAAATTATTTTGACAGGCAGGGCATGGTGGCTCATGCCTGTAATCCCAGCACTTTGGGAGGCCAAGGTGGGTGGATCACCTGAGGTCAGGAGTTTGAGACCAGCCTGGCCAACATGGTGAAATCCCATCTCTACCCAAAATACCAAATTAGCTGGGCATGGTGGCTCATGCCTGTAGTCCCAGCGACTTGAGAGACTGAGGCAGGAGAATCACTTGAAACCGGGAAGTAAGAGATTGCAGTGAGCCGAGATCATGCCACTACACTCCAGCCTGAGCAACAAGAGTGAAACTTCATCTCAAAAAAAAAAAATTTTTTTTTGACTTCCTAATCTTCTGATTAGAAACTGCTTTTTTTGGTATTTGAAGAGTTGGACTTGTTAGACGTAAAGTCTTGCACTACTAGTTCCTTTATGGTTTTTCATGTAAATACTAAATTAGGCCCTTCTAGTCATTGATTTATCATTTGATATTTCAAAATGTGTCATTTGTAATAGTATTAAATTTTAAATGAGTGATTTCAACTGAAGTAGAGTGTTGCTGCTAGCCCAGTATTTGGATCTAATTTCCCCAAGAATTTCATGAAATTAGAAATCCTTACTAGCTTACAAAAAAAACGTTATGTAGAAAATTTTCAGTAAATTCAAAGAAATAAGATCATTTTGGGGATTTGTCAATTGCAGGTCAAATCTTGACTTTTTCACTGCATGGACTCTGTTGGGCCACTCTTTATGATCCTAGATTACCTTCATCTGGTTTGACTGACTTAGTTTTGGAATTCTTCCTCAATTTTTTAAAACTTGTAAATTTAAAAAATAAAAACTGATTTTGCTCTCAGGTAACAAAATGTAATCAAGACTGTGACCCTGATATCCTTCAAGTCTGTAATATATTCAAAAGCCAGATGAATAAACTTGAATGATGTCTAATCACCTGAATTTCCTGGATCATCAATTCCCCCTACCGCCTCCCTACCCTAACCACCGTAGAAGATCAGGACTTGGTGGTATTGGACTGGGATGATAAATACTATCCAGGGAAGGCCAGGTGCGGTGGCTCACACCTGTAATCCCAGCACTTTAGGAGGCTGAGGTGGGTGGATCAGGAGTTTGAGACCAGCCTGGCCAACATGGTGAAATCCTGTCTGTACTAAAAATACAAAAATTAGTTGGGTGGTGGGCGTGCCTGTTATCCCAGCAGCTACTTGGGAGGCTGAGGCAGGAGAATCACTTAAACCTAGGAGTCGGAGGTTGCAGTGAGCCAAGATCGGCACCACTGCACTCCAGCCTGGATGACAAAGCAAGACTCTGTCTCAAGAAA